CATATGTTCTGCAATTTCAGTCTGTTGTTTGTTCATCCTTCTTTCTTCTCCTTATCCAAATCCGTTTTGCCTGGCAGCCTTAGTGTAGATAAGGAACAGGCCTAACTTGGCGCTCCGATTAGGCAGTGCTACTTAGACCCAATTAGACTAATGATGGCAACTCATCTTACATGAGATGCCCTCAGATTTATCAAATTGGCATGGCTACCCCCCCACCCCCCCACCCCGAGCAAAACATCCCTGGCCAGTGATGATTGTGGATGGAAATGTCAAGGACGCTCAGTCGCCTCGGCCTCGAGGGCGTGTACACATGTGCTTGCGTCTTATTTACGTTGTCAGTCAGTCAGTCAGTCACTCCACAAATATCCTGAAATGATCAGGCTGGATGCAGCGACCCAGTCTTCTTGTGTCCCATCAGACATCCTCACATAGACACTGGATAGCAGCGTTGCTTTGGTGAGAGTTAAAGATAAAGAGCAGTGCAATAGAAGGATTGTCAATGAAACGTCCTTTAGTGTTGATCTGTCTTGAAGGACATCTGGGACTCACAGCCACTGTGTGTCATTGTGTAACGTGTTCATTATGCCCCATAGAAAATCACAGTGACCAGACACTGCACTGCTACTGGTGGTCATCTGTCTCCATCTAGTGGGAGATGAATTCAGTCTTTTTAAATCTGTCCACGTTATAGAGCAGCAGTAAATATTTCACAACAGTAAGTACGTCCCTGAACAGCTGTACGATGGTTTGATTGCTTAAATAATTCAGAGTGCTCACAGATCGGATTTGTCAGTGTGTATTTTATCAGTCCAGGACAGTCACTGTGTAAAGTCTGCATGCTTTTCAGATTGAGTTACAAAAATTGCCGGACACAGCTTCTACATTTCAACCTGTTTCCTCAGGTTCTGCGACGGCACCAGAGGTCCACAGTCGCAGTCAAAGGACGTGTCCTACTGGAGGAGAAGAGGCCAGGACTTTACTGTGCTGCTGGATTATGCTGACTTCAGAGAGTCCCATGGAGGCGGACAGGGGGGTTATGGCAGACCAGAGGGGCCTCAGCAAGCAAGAGGCCAAGAGATGTCTGCAGAGGAGCGTCAGAGGGCAGCTCAGGAGAGGCAGCGCTGGGCAGCCCAGGCCCAGGCTCAGGCTCAGGCCCAGGCCCAGGTCCAGGCTCAGGCCCGCTCTAGAGAGAGGGAGGCTGCTCTCCATCAGTGGAAGATGGCGACTGAGAGGAAATGCCAGAGCTTGGGGACAGATGAGTGGCGCCCAGCCGTGAGCTTTGGCCGCCAGCTGTCACAGAGCGAGGGTGAGCGTTGGGCACAGGAGCAGCAGCGGCTCCATGCCAGGACGCCAGAGGGCATGGTAGTCCACCCCAGGACCAAAGCCAAATCCCAGTCCCTGCCCAGGATGTTGCAGCCTGAGAGCCTGCAGTATGTGGACATAGGCTCATCCGGTCAGGAACTGTACAGGCGGGTCAACGGCCACCCACTGTCTCACCACGACCTTTACAGGGCGCCCCGCTGGCCGGAGAATGGCAGGCCGGCTAGCGCCAACCAACTCTCAATGACACCAAAGCCCCGCTTCACCCGACCACCCAGACCTCCCTCTTATGAGATGCACCAGCAGATAAGGGGAAGCTGTGAGGTGCTGTCTGGGAGAGACTCAGTCATTCCCCAGGCCAGGGACAGAACGCCGCTTCCCATATCAAGGCCAGGTGACTCCCAACTGGACTATTATGCTCCGGACTCTGGACCTCCAGGATACATCCCTCCGCCATCATATAAGAGAGCTCCTATAATGGCAGGAGGACGCCGGGGATATGGTGAAATTCCTTTGGACTACAGGTAAATTAGTCTGTTTTTCTTTATCTGAAACTATTTATTCAAGTGACTTTTACCAGCAGCGACAACATGGCTGGTATTGTTTTCACCTTGTGTGTGTGTGTGTGTGTGTGTGTGTGTGTGTGTGTGTGTGTGTGTGTGTGTGCGCACTCCATCATGGCAAAATGTGGTCCTGGAGACACCTACTGTAGCAGGAACTACGAGAGGTGGTGTTGAACACTTTGGCAGGTGTTTATATGTCTGTGGACAGATCTTGTCAACGTGATAGCGTCACAACCTCACTACTCATGGGTCAGACTGCACCCGTCTTCAAACCTTCTTTTTGATGTGAACCCTGTGAGGTGTTATGACTGTTTCTTACATGGTTGCGACAAACAGCTCAAAACAGCCTCTGAGGTAGTTCCTGCTACAGTAGCTGTATCCAGGTGTTGTTCCAGGTCCAATGCATTTTCCATATAGTTCAAGAAGTTTGTATAAATAAGTTGTAAGACATTAGTATGTTTTCTCAATGACGATATTCGCACATCCAAATGTCTCAAGTGCAGATGCATTAGAAAGTGTCACTTGAGGCTTGAAAAGAATATCCCACACACTTGCTCTTGCTCAGCATCACAATTTATTGATCATCCTAAGGTTTCGGTCTCTCCAATACTTCTGACGTAGTAAAACAAAGTAAAAATACTTCTGATGAAGGTCTGGAGAGACCGAAACGTTACGATGATCAATAAATTGTAATGCTGAGAGAGAACAGTGAGCAGGATATTCTTCTTTCCAACACTGAAGACATTAGTATGTGAAAGATTGCTAAAAAGAATATGTGCATTCAAATAATACTTTTTTGAAGGAAAATTCACCTTTATATTGTATTAAGGGGCTGAGGTGCTTAAAAAACTATGACATACTGTTCTATATTCTCTAATGATATGTGTTGATAGTCATCAGTGGATCTGTTCAGTGCTCTGAAGGTATACTCTCATTCACTAAACAGCCATATAGAGTAGGGATGGGTATGAGTACTTGAGTACTCGTTGATGTCATTACTCGAGGAGGGTTTCACTACTCGCGCACCTGCGCACGTGTTATTTTTGGCTACAATAATTCAACTCGGTTGGCGTTACTTGCACCATGGCAGGCGTGACCAGGAAAACTGATGTCTGGAAATACTTTGATTAAAAAAAAAACACAATAACGTGCAGTGCAAGATATGTGGTGTTAAACTTGCATATCATAGAAATACCAGTTTGATGCTTAACCACATGGCAATTTAAATTGCACTTGGTTTCCATTGTTGGCTATTCATTTACATAAATGTGAAAGTATTAGACAGTGATGTTATTCGACAGCCAAACAGTAGGCTTGGTCGGGGAGGTCCGTGTCCGACTTGCGAGTAATCGAGTAATCATTCATAAGGTAATCAGAGTACTCAAATATTGAAATTACTGAAAATGCCCATCCCTAATATAGAGCAAAATCATCAGTCAGGCTTACATTTCACTCTTTTTTATTCCTTGTCATTGTTACTTAGATAAAGTGCAACTGTGTTGTTTTTACTGTTAGGTATCGAGGGGATGTGTACCAGCAGATACAAGTGGCTCCTGATGGGTCTCACTGGTTCATCAGACATCCAGCAGGTTCCTGGCCTGATCCCCAGAGAGAGAGGAGCTTGTCCTGCCAGAAGCAGCTTTACCCTGTGTATACTACCCAGGAGCACCCGGGTGGAGGGGTCCAGTATATTCCCTTTGATGACCCACGTATCCGTCACATTTCCTCAGCCCTGGGTGGCAACTCCCTGACGGACGCTGACAAGATCCGCCACATCCGCAATGAGCTTCCCAGCGTCACCGTGTCGGAGCCCGCATCCGACGACAGTGCCTTTTTGCCCCCACCACTGGGGCCTTTCATCGCCGCCAAACTGGCCGATGAAGCTAATAACCAGACGTCTTCTAGCGACTTTGACAATGACAATAACAGGTGGCACAGCGATTTGCACAAAGAAACTGTCGATAACTTCCCAGCAACTGACCAAAACTGCAACAACAGATATCCCAAAAACCAACGTCCTCCTCCATCTCCCTCTTCAACCTTCCAGGCTCCATTAACAAGAAGTTCCTCTCGCCAGGGGTCCAGCTCAGACCAGGTCTTTGCAGAAACCATCACCCAAGTGAAGAAAATTGCCCCGGATACAGGGCCAGAGAACAACAGGAACACCAAGAGAAGAGTGAGTGAGACCATCTTCTGCCTTGTGTCTGTCCCCGTTCACACGCCGACTAACATTAATAAAGACTCAGCAGCAGACCAGAACAACAACGAGACGATACCAAGCCTGACTGTCACTAACACAGAGACCTTTGCTGTAGGCCTCAAAGAGAGCCAAAGCGTTCGCAGCAAGTCTGTGAACGAGATGCCCATCAAACCCCACTACTCTCACTTTCACACCAGCAGCACATCCTCAATGAGGAATTACAAGAGGGCCCCTTTAAGGAAGGAGATAATTGACGCCTGGGCACTCCAGGCCAGTGAAGACAAAGAGTTGTGCTACGCTGGGTCCTGGCCGGGGAACCAGTACCGTAATCAGGAAACCCAGACTGGCTCTCCTTTGACGGTGGTAAAAAGCCCAGAACCCCAGAGTCCTCCTGGGGGACGGGAGCCTGTTCAGTCCGTCTCAGACACAACCACAGACAGTGGTGTGGGGACAGACACTAGTTCCTCTTATGGTTACCCCATGGCAGGCCAGAAGAACCTTCATCGCTCCAGCAACAGCGCCTTCTCCCGTCTCAGCCTCAGCCCAACGCAACCGCCCTCACTACACCCCTTACTGCAACCCTCACAGCAAGACCCATCCTCCCCATCCAAGGCCCATGATCAGGGAGAGCAGCAGCCGTCCTCTCCCAGGAAGAGCACCTCCACTCCCCCAGAGAGCGCAGAGCAAGTGGTCTTTGGACAGTTTCTCTTAAAGCCAGTGAACCGGCGACCATGTGATGCCATTGGTGAACTGGAGAGCATCAATAAGGAGATGGAAGACACGATCAAGAAGAGACCCAATGTGGATCAGTGCACCGATTATCTCGATGGGGTGAATAAGAGTCTAGACCTGTTTAAATCAGGAGCACATTTCACTGCTGGTCCAGAACCAGGCAGGGAAGCAATCAGTCTTCCACCAATGCACATAGAAAAACCCACCAATATGAAAGTCAGATCAAAGTCCTTGGCTTCTACTGCTGATCTATACTCCATGGACATGAGGAGTGCTTTCTCCAGGCCACAGGCCAACAACATGCCACCAACAAATGAGCTATCTGTACTCCCCAACGCAGGCCTCAGAGACAATGGCCTCCTGTCCTCACTATGTCCACACAATGAGTCAAACCGGCTCTATAGACAGGACATCCCAGTCGCTCAAGAGTCCTTGCTGAGGGATGTGGGGCTAACTGTATACACAGAGACCCCTGGTGGTCCCGGGGAGCCAATGCAGCGCTCACTCTCAGTCCCATCTCCACTCAGTCATAAAGAGCTTAGTCAGTCAGTGCAGCCCTCGTGGGAGAGTAGGACAGCACTTAAAAATGGTGGTAGCCCAGAGCACAACTCAAATAAAGAGCTTCAAGCTGAGGTGGATACACAGAGAAAGGCTAAATCAGACAGTGGTCCTCCTTTCAGGGGTGAGGTGAATTTACGCATCTGTAGATCCAGGAGTGAAAGCAGCAGATCACCTCAGAAAGAAGCTTCACCACGCATTACAAGGCTGAGCAGGGAGGTTTCCTTTGTGTTTGAGGACAGTGATGGAAATGGGAGATATGCCATCTCTGAGCCTCTGACCTATAAGAATGAATCAACAATAGCAGATAAGCATCTGGAGAACTTGTTGATTCAGGAGAAAGCCAATGCTTTACCTGCAGAGGACCTCAGCAACCTGTATGAGGTCAAATGCGCAAAAGGTATCCCTGAAAATGAGTCCATCGAGCAGAGGGCAGCACGGATCCTGGGCATAGCCGTTCCAGTGGAGGCATTGGGTGTGGCTGACAACCAACTCTCCGAGGACAACCAGGACGAAGCAGACGCCACTGTAGCTGAGAAACGACTGAGTCCAAGCGAAGAGACACAGCAGGTGATAGGAGAGTGTGAGCAAGTCAATGAGGAGTCCCATGTTGTCCATGGGACAGAGACAGAGGCGATGGAGACAAGATTAGGTGTGGACCAAGAAGAAGGTAACAGACAAAAGCACAGCAGTTACCACAGTGATGGTGAACACATCCTGGATGCTGAGACTCAGTCCGCCGTAGTACTGGACCTGCCTGAGTTCCCACCCAGTAAGCTTCTCCTCTCCCTGCCTGTCACTCCTGATGAGAAGCTAGCACTGAGCATGTGCAGCGGGGAGAAGAAGGGGCGAGGCGGGGCGTGCAAACTCATCGAATCCCTCCAAGATAAGCTAAACTCTTCCGCCTCTTCATGTGCTATGTCTCCGGGAAGATCAACCACAGACAGAATGGCACGTCTGAAGGAGCTGGACTCGGTGTCTCGAATCAGACGCCTCAGTCTCAAAGGTTCTGAGTCTGGAGGAGAAGCTGGTGCTGAGGAGAGAAATGGAGACAGAGAGGAGGGCGAGGTTGAAGAAGAAGCAAAGGAGGAAGTTGAGGGGAAGCTAGATGAAGAAGAGGAGAAGAGACAGGAGGAAGAAGGAAGGGAGGAGGAGGAAAACCCAGATGAACATGAGAATGCACATGAAACACATGAGAAGCTGGGAGATCCCGAAGAAGACTGTAAACCTGAAGAAGTGAATGAAGTGATATGTGAGGAAGAGCAAAGACAAGACGAGGAGGAAGGAGAGATTCATGTTGAGATTGCACTGAAAGTGGACAATGAAGGGAGTGAAGAAGTCGATGTTGAATTAAAAACAGAAGAGCCAGAAGGAGAGGTGGAGCTGAAGATAGTGGAGGATGACAAAGAAAAGCCTGTGGAGGAGCTGAGAGATGGACAGAACGCAGAGGAGGTCAGCAGAGCTGAATCCACACAAGACGCTGAGGGAGAAAAGTTGCCCAAACCAAAGCAGCGCACCAGACTGCAGAAGCCTCCTCTGCTTCCGAAACCCCGCAGTGTTCCCAAGAGAGAAATAACGCTGCCGCTCAGCTTCAGCTCTGGGACCTGCGGCCCCTCAAACATGGAGGATGAGGAGGTGCTCTCTGTCTCAGGTGGGTAAGAAGGTTTATTACAGAAAGTTTGATATATATCAAATGTCGTGATATTTCCCACCACATGCATAATATTCGTTTTGTTTTTGTTTTTTTCATTATTTATTTATTCATTTTTTTTGCAGTTCTGCAAAGCCCTGCTGCCAAGTGTGGCGCTCACTCCTCTGCTTTTCTTACTGTACATTGTACCGTGCCATGTGACAATCTTTCTTTCTGAGAGTGAGACGACTAGATGGATATCAATTTCATGTCTGTTTTTTTAAGTCAGGATGTCGTTAGCATAGCTTAGCATGAAGACTGGAGCCAGCGGTGCATGTAACTCCATATAAAATCACAACTTGTTTTTACTCTTTGGTACTCTCCAGTCTTCATGTAAAGCTAAAAGCTTTCTGTAGTTTACTATACTTTGAATGCAGACATGAGAGCACTGTCACTCTTTTCATCTGACTGTGGACAGTGAGGTTTACAGGTGTTGCTTGGCATGTTTTTGGACTCTGAAGAGAGGCTGAATGACTGTGTCCCCTGCTCCCAGTCTTTTCTGACTCCAGCTCCTTCCTTCATGCACAGACAGACTGGAATGACTTTTCCCACCTCACTTTTGGAAAGAAAGCAATAAGCACATTTGCCAAGATGTTGGACTGTTCCTTTAAGGTGCACTTTAGTGAGAGCAAATAACATCGCCCTGACACTCTGACTTATTTCCGTTTGTGTTGTCTCATCTTTTCTTTCCTCTCTTTTTCTCATCAGATGCCTACGACCCCAGCCGGGTGGAGAGAGTGTAACCTCTGACACCGCCTTCACCACTGTGGATATCTGTCTTTCTCAAGTTAACAGCTTTTTCCAACAACAAAGGCTTTCATCTCACCTCATGGCTTTGTCAGCCATGACCCCTCCAATATTGTTACACATTACTCCTCACACATCTGACTGTCCTGGTGCTGCGAGAGCATTTTTACAGCCAAATAAAGGCACCGGCGGTGCCAATTCTCCAGGCCTTTTCAACCCTGTCGTCCTCGTCCTCCCATTCTCTCCACTCCTCCAAAGTTTATTTACTCAAGCAAGCGGACTTCCTCTTTTTGAAGTCATCTTATTTTGCTTTTGGAAAAATGCATGTCATTATTCCCAGTCTGCACTTGGGCTCCTTTTACGAGCTCGGGTGTTGAAATATGAATGTAAAAGTGCTTCTGTTCAGCAAAACAAAAAGAAATGTAACAGAAAAAAAACAAGAAGGCAACATTATTGCATTACAATCAGTATTAACCTACACCAAATGTAAATAAGACAGAGTTATAAGATTTTATTAAGAATATAAAAAATCAATTTACGACATTTAATTGCTGAAGAAATGTATATTTTCTTATCTATGTTAAGAAAAGACTAGATTTTTGGAAGTGTAGTCTTTGGGTGTATTACTAATAATGAAACCCCCTGCTCTTTATTCTTATACTTGTGTGATAGAGAATGTACTCAGAGAGCTGGGATTGCAATGAGAAACACTGTGGTCCTTGAATAGTTTCACTCTAGAGCAATATAGTTGTTGTACACGGGCGTCTGTGACACGATTTGAGAAGTAAGTCTCCATTTCAAGGAGCTGATCTCATTTAAACGTTTGCTTTGAAGCTCTGCTTTTTTGGTACAAGTGTTAGATTTGCACTGCTGAGATTATTGGCTTTATGCTACCGGCGAGCACCTGATAATCTCCTCAAATACTCAGAGATTACACTCGGAGAGGAATCACGTTCGCACCCTCCCTCCGCTCTGGCGCCGTCAGTCTCAGCATCGCCAATCGCAACATGTATCAGAAACGTCTGATGTTGGTGTTATTTTTGTTAATCCTCATACTGTTCAAAAAGAAAATCTATATTTTGTGGCATTAACAGAAGTCTATATTTAACCGTGGGGTTTTCTTCGTTCATATCTTAGTTCCTGTGTGATTTCAGAAGTGCTTCTTGCAGGAAAATGATAGATGTAGCTATATTGATCGCAGTGTGCCTTGTACACACTGTGTCTGTGGAGAACTTTGTTTGTGTGTGTAACACATCCTGTATTGTCGGTTTACAATTCCTAATTTAAACTGGACATCTGTAATTCATTTTACTTTAACACACGAAAGACACATTTGGAGTTGTTTTTGGCAATAATAATAAATATTAAGCTAATGATGCTTAATATGGACGCTGTACAGAACATAGCTGTTGGAATACTAATCACAGTATCTGAACACGTTCACTAATTTAATGTTGACATATCAGTGCTTTGTAAATTGTGGGCATAACTGGCAGTTGGTTTACACTCACTTCACTTAATGGGGTAGCAATACAATTAAAAACATACCAAACCAAACTTTATGCTATGCATTGGACATCAATATTCACTGGGTTTAAGTACCAAAATTCAAAGCTAAAACTGTAACTTCTGGTTTGCTTCTTTGACCCTGTCACTCTTCGATCTGTATTGTCGAGCTGTATTTGATGTTGAACCTGTTGGACGTGGTTATAGACGTGCATGGAGGCGGCTCCGACTCGAGTCCGCCAGCGGAAGCTCAGTCTGAGGTTTTTGTCTTTGTCCTGTTACCAACCCAGTACCCGTACCTCTGTGTTCCAGGTAATGTGTTATCTGGTCATTCTCGTAGGTCTTTTTGTACTGCAACTTCTTTGTAACATAATATAGACTATTGGTGCACATCTTGCTTTGATATTTTCTATTTTCATACAGAAGTATGTACAGCTTCTTTTGTATGCGCAGCATCTTTTTTTTTTCTTTTTTTTGTGCATGAAATGCGTAAGACGTCACAGAGAGAAGGTGTATTTGCATATAATTGCATTTGGTACTATATAGTCTATCCAATAAACAAGTGTTATATTTCATATAATGTATATTTTATTTTCAAAAGTTAAGCTACATATTTAAACAGAACAAGGTATTTTTAGATTATTGTGAAAAGGGAACTGTTTTTGAAGGCACAATATTTGTCTATATTTCCTGTGATCATTAAAATGGTCATAAATAGAGACAAGTGTGTGCTGTTGTACAGTGCTGCAGACTATTCATAAATAAAAGTCTTTGCATGAAACATACTGTGTCTTCATTATTAATATTATACATCATTTGATGCAGTTCCAGTGGACAGTTATGCACACATTTATTATTAATGATGATGAAAAATAAGGAACTATTGTGTTTTCATGTTTGTAGGGAAATATTCTTGCAGCCATGGTCTGGTTAACAGAATTTTACTGTTGGGTCCTCCTGCTGTGCACTGAGGATATGTCCTGTTACCTCCAAGTTCCAATCAAAGCCGACCTGTGGCCCTTTGCCGCATATCATCTCCTCGCTCTCTCTCTCTCTCCCTGACTTTCCTGTGTTTTCTGAATTTGTTAATGTTTTGTCTGTTTGCATGTGTTTTCAAAGAACTGAACTAGACCACTCATCAACTTACACTGGTACCCATGGCTGCAGGAAAAAAATTCAAGTCACGAATGCTGCCTTCAGAGGTGACGTCTGTGGGTCCCTGATGGTGGAACAAGCTACTTAATGCTATGAGAGCAGGGGCGTCCCTCTCTATCTTCAAGAGTCTCATGGAGACTCATCTCTTCTGAGAGCACCTCCTCTCCTGACACCTAACACCCCGACATACCTAACTATGCCTGGTGTACTTGCACTTCTTTAGTAGTTAGTACTCACACCAAGGTCTCCTGCTGCACTGAGGCTTTAGTTTGTCCCTCACTTGTGAGTCGTTTGGGATAAGCGTCTGCCAAATGAGTAATTGTAAATGTAAAGTAGAAAACTGCAAAACCGAACAAGGATTTGATGCCAGTTTTATTGAAGTATCGACTGTGCCCAACGAAAGAAACAGGCTCTATGAAAAAGAACTGCAATTTATTGTGGTTAACATCAAATAGTAGGATAAATGAATCCATATGTATAACAGGGTCTGTAAATGAAATTATGATTCAAAAGACAGATGACAGCATTCTCTCCTGCTCCTGGCTGCATCCCAGCACTTGAGTGCATTAAAATATGAATCATTACTTTGATGCTGACACTCAGCGTGTAGCTGGATGTTTGATTTAGCTTTTAATTTACATTAAAGCACAATTACTTCTACACAGCTATATTCAAGATCTATTATATATAGTGATTAAACTGAACTTCAAGAGCAGCATGAAATGAAACTTGTTAAAGGTTGGAATAATGGTAATAATCAACTTGCATGAACATACAGTAGATAAGATAAGGGCTTGCTGCCCTCTGTGGGCCAATAAAGGTATTGTCACAGAGGAGCATGAAAACCAATCTACAGGGGTCATGCTGTATATCTCTTATTATAAGCAAAGACATTCATCTGTATGGAATAACTCATTACACTGGGGGAAAAAACTTTAGCATGAATCATATTTGAAACATTTTGGTTTACTGGATAAACACGTTAAGTGTAAATGCGAGCGAAAGAATAACTTGTCTTCATTTGCTCAGGAGCAGACAAGACTCAGTCTTTTTATAACATGTCAAATCATCTTTGTGGTAAATGTGAAAGATCTGAGAATCCTATTTCAATTACAAGAAAGGATATGTGGGAAAACATGGATGCAATGAGCAAAGTAACTAACTACGGAATTACACGCAGGTATGATTATAATCCAGTTAAACTTGACTCATGTAGGACAGTTACTGGTGCACATGCATGTAAGTAGGAACTTTGTTTCATGTAATGTGGTAATATTATTTGTATTTACATTATTCACAAATTCGCAAGGAGAGCTCGAAAAGCTACTTTTAGTTAACTGGCTTAACTGAACGTAACACTGCCCGTCCTGGATAACCTGTACTACGAAGCAGGTTATCAGCTGGCTCAGTTGGGTTTACCTGTCCGCTGACGAGCGCGTTCATGTGAAAGAGGCGGAGTTGTTAATCGTAAGCAACATCGTCTGAACCATGAATGAAGTTCTTAATATGATATGAGAAGACGCGCTGATACTTTCCTGTACGTTTGGTTGTAACCACGCCCAACAATGATATTCAACAAGGTGAAATGTAAACAATATAAAATACATAAATATTTCTGAATATAATTACCATTAAAGTCAGAATAATGATGTATTGTAAATAAGTGGATGAATTATCATTAAGTTTCTTGCTCAGTATTTTCGCTCTTCAGTTGATGATGAGCAAAGTGTTATGAACATGAGAGATTTAATGTCAGACTGTTTCTGCTGCAGAGAGGAGAGAAAGAAAAGAGAAGTAGGTCATGTCTGATTAGTCAGTCTGACTGAAATGTTTAAAAATTAAAAATCGAATTTATAATCATGGGAAATATTCAATAGGACGTGGACCATTGTTCTAATCAAACACATCAGAGGTTTAGTTTTTATTTCCAGTTCTGGTCACAGAGTCTCCTCATTTGATCAATGAAAATGAAGCTATGATAAACTCCTCTGTTTGTTAGACGCTCTGTTTAAAAACCAGATTGGCAAGGTCTGGAACAGTAACACGATTCCACTAATTTATATAAATGTCTACTACTCATATTTATCACTTTTGTTCCCGTCAGGATCCAGTGGGAATGATGACTCCGTTTTTCCAGGTATCTGATTTGTCAATAGTTCGGTTGTTGATGGTTGGTGGTAGTTAATCACGCATGGAAATAGTACATCAGTGACTGTGTTCCATGCGATGGTGGTATAGTGGTGAGCATAGCTGCCTTCCAAGCAGTTGACCCGGGTTCGATTCCCGGCCATCGCAATACATTTAGACGCACAAAACTATCAAATCAATTACACTTTTTAGTTTGGCTTATAAATTTAATCTATGGATTTAGTTGAGGCAAAAATTAATATCAGTGTTGACACAAAATGTTCGCTGTCTGCATTGTTTCGCAAAATAGAACAAATTCGCTTAAAAAAATCTATTGCGATGGCCGGGAATCGAACCCGGGTCAACTGCTTGGAAGGCAGCTATGCTCACCACTATACCACCATCGCCACACTAGTCCCTCTGCCGATGATGTATGGAATTCAGCAGCTGGATGATGGTGGGAAAAGACGGGGAGGAGGTACATCAGGAAGAGAAGAGAAGAAGAGAAGACAAGAAAAGAAGAGAAGAGAAAAGAGAAGAGTGTGACCACTGCCTGTTGTGCAGCTCCTCAGCTGAGCCTTTGACAACGCGGAAGTCTAAAAGAAAGAAAGAAAACGAAAGAAAGCAAGAAAGAAAGAAAAAAAGTCCTCATGAACTCAGAACAGGACCTCTCTGGCACAAGACAACCTCTCATCACAAGCTATTTCATTGTCAAGGAACTGAGTTTTCAATATTTTTTCAATCTTTTACAGAGATGAGAGGAATGTCTTTCTTTGCTCCGATACAAGTAAAACAGACTTGTGACCAATTAATGAACGTCTATCATTCGTTTTGATAAAAGTAGTATAATATTTCGTTGTCGGCAGGATTCGAACCTGCGCGGGGAGACCCCAATGGATTTCTAGTCCATCGCCTTAACCACTCGGCCACGACAACTCGGCAAGTTTCAGGAAGTGACGCAAACTTGGTTAAATCAAATTTAACTCGTTTATATGTGGGTTAAGTGATTGTGAAATCTTCTGCTTCTGCTTCTGCTTACACGATGGTGGTAAAACTCACAGTATGGATTCTCTACGGGTACTCTGGCTATTTCCCACAGTTCAAAGACATGCACTTTATGTTAACTGGCAACTCTATTTAACAGCAACTATTTAATGCAACACTATACTATGACTTTTTATGCCTTATTATATTATGACGTTTTTATGACTTTTTATTTTGTCCTCCATGAATGACGAAAAAGAAACAAAACAGATTCACACACTACCTGCAAATAGTGGAGACAAAGGTGTCCTCCATTCTTATTTTGTTTGTTTACATTTCGCTCAGTTCCGACCAAACGGCCAAATTTTCGTGGTTTATTTACTTTAGCCAACAATTGTTGGCTATAATAAATAATTTCTTCTGCAATATTAAAATTAATTAAGTCTGTCAACAGGATTATGCCATGGAGTTGTCAGGTTATGTAAGTTTTTTATTATTAAATAATAATATCGGATATTGTATTCCTAATTTGAGGAGATAGGTTTCACAGGTCGTCATGGCGATGAGAAGATTTTTGCTTTTTTGTCACACTTAAATGTCTTAGATTATCAAACAAATTTTAATATCAGACAAAGATAACCTGAGTAAATACAAAAAGCAGTTTTTTCATGATTTCATTTATTAAGGGAAAAAAGCTATCCAAACCAACCTGGCCCTATGTGAAAAAGTCATTGCCCCCCTTGTTAAATCATGAATTAACTGTGATTAACCACATTTTGTTGGAAAGCTGAGTTCAATTTCACTAGCTCCACCCAGGCCTGATTACTGCCAGACCTGTACAATCAAGAAATCACTTAAATGGAACCTGTGTGACAACATGAAGTAAGCTAAAAGATCTCAAAAAGCAACACATCATGCACCGATACAAAGAAATTCAAGAACAGATGAGAAACAAAGTCAGTGACATCTATCAGTCTGGAAAGGGTTACAAAGCCATTTCCAAGGCTTTGGGACTCCAGCGAACCACAGTGAGAGCCATTATCCACAAATGGAGAAAACATGGAACAGTGGTGAACCTTCCCAGGAGTGGCTGGCCTACAAAAATTACTCCAAGAGCGCATCAACAACTCATTCAGGAGGTCACAAAAGAACCCAGAACAACATCTAAAGCACTGCAGGCCTCACTTGCCTCAGTTAAGGTCAGTGTTCATGATTCAACAATAAGAAAGAGACTGGGCAAAAATGGCATCCATGGGAGAGTTCCAAGGCGAAAACCACTGCTGATTGTGACTTTAAGCTCAAGCGCACTGGTTGGTGGTTATGCAGCAGGACAATGATTTGAAGCACACCAGCAAGTCCACCTCGGAATGGCTCAAAAAACAAAAAAAAACTAAAGTTTTGGAGTGGCCTAGTCACAGTCCGGACTTAAATACGATTAAGATGCTGTGGCATGACCATAAACAGGCTGTTCATGCTCGAA